ATCTCCGAAACGTCGTTTTACGTTTTTTACGTTTTATTACTAGACGATGGATAATATCCAAGTAAATTTTTATTCAATTGACTCTTCACCATAGTCAAGAAGTTTTAGATTTGATATGAAAGATATTAGTATATAAAGACATTTCTGACACTCATACACACTATTATTTATATCTGGGTTGTTTCTTATTACTAGTCGATGTTCAAACTCCGTGTTCTATCAGTAAACAAACAAAGCAACCCAGATGGTTAAAGACGAATGTTGAACTGTGACATTTGATATGATGACAAGCAAAAACGTTTCTACGCACGTGATATAGACTTCTTTTCGTGTAGTCTGTTCAAAGTGTACCAACGTGTTTGCAGAGCGAGATCTGGGATGATATTTGTCTCATGTCTTTGTTAACAGACATTTTCTGCCAAGACACGTTAATAAAACATACATGCTTTTATTTTAAGTTCATTCAGATCATTATGCAGACGATATAATTTAAACGAAATCGTAACTTGTTATTTCGAAAAATGTTAAATATTATATAAAATATTCCATATTCCTATACAATGACATATGAGTATTTTAGGCTGTACTTATAATTATATTTTTTTAATACGTAATGTCTTGTATTTCATAATATTACCAAAAGTTACTAATTTGTATCCTATATGCGTCATGTTTGTGTTTGATTAAATATATTTATTTTGTACAGTCTATATACAAACGTTTGAAGTTTATTGGTGTTGTAAAAATTATATAATATTAAAACATTTTATTGTGTAAAATATTATATTAGCGCTCTTAATCGTAAATACGATTTTACATTATATTTTTAGCGCTTTTATTAAAACGACATGTTTCGACGGGTAATACCGTCGTCTTCAGGTTTTTATCAATTTAAAATATTTTAAAAACTATTAGATATTTGATGCAATATATTATAATGATCCGAAGTTCTGTTCATTCCAAGAAAATAATTAAACATTAATTCCACAGATAAATATAACGTCTGACTACAATAAGCAACTTACCATGAAAATGGAAAGCTACAAACAGAACTACGGATCATTATAATATATTGCATCAAATATCTAATAATTTTTAAAATATTTTAAATTGATAAAAACCTGAAGACGACGATATTACCCGTCGAAACATGTCGTTTTAATAAAAGCGCTAAAAATATAATGTAAAATCGTATTTACGATTAGGAGCGCTAATATAATATTTTACACAATAAAATGTTTTAATATTATATAATTTTTACAACACCAATAAACTTCAAAAGTTTGTGTATAGACTGTACAAAATAAATATATTTAAAAGTTACTAAGTATAAAGTGATAATTTATTTCGTTAGATATTGGCTCACGATATCTGGACAAATAAAAAACTGTTCGAAATTGCTGTAAATATAGAAGGAAGATGTCGGGATTTATGTAACTCATGTACAAAGTCATTGGCATATTTTATTGTAGTATGTGCCTAGTTATTACTGTTTAACATAATTAGCCCTGTTTTACGTTTTCAGGATTTTCCTTAACACCATTTACAAGCGTTATCACCTTCAAAACTTTGTATTCACCTAAATGTTAAGCCGACAAGTAAAATCTCGTAAAAGTTCTGAAATGACAAATATTACGTCATCGGTATACAAGAAAGTGGATCTAAAGTAACTGTGTTCATTATCCTCCAATTCTTATTCCAAACTTAAAGAGACTTCTTAAAAGCTTCTTTTAAATACTCTAAATTTATGATGTTGACATTTGGCTGCACAGAGAAGTCGTTATGCATTCTTTGTATAAAGTGAACGAATTACGTAGGGATCACTTAAGTCCGTAATGTCTTATCACTAAAAGTAATGAACTGACTGTGTCCCGTAGCGCGCACAAGAGAAATGATAAATACATATACAATTTTAGTATGAGAACATGAGAGAAAGGATCACTTAGGAGGCAAAGGCGTAGACGAGAAGATGATTCTGAGGTGGATATTAGTAAAACAGTGTACGAAGTATGGGCTGGATTCATCTAATTCAACATGGGGCCAATTGGTGTATTTTTAACACAGTATGAAACTTCATGATTCATAAAAAAACGAGTGAATTTACTAATTTATTGACTAGGTAAGAGAGTATAAACTTCTCAAAATGCCTGCACTCCATGCAATTAATCGATAGTTAAGGGTGCATGTGCTGCACACTGCTGATGAATTTCGATTTTATAAGCAAAGACTATATAACCCATATATGAAGCTCAAATATATTTTATCGCCTAGGTCAGTGGTATTGAACTTTTTTGTTCGCGTACCCCCAGATATAATTTCTCTTCAACTTTGTACCCCCAAAGTCGTTGGTGTATAATTCAAGTTATACATAGTATATAATCTACATCTAAAATAAATTAAATAAATTACATTACTGATTATTCAGTGTTTATCATAAAATAATATATTTTTTTTTAAATTTCACGTACCCCCTAAGATGTCTTCGCGTACCACCAGGGCTACGCGTACCCCAGATTGAATACCACTGGCCTAGGTTATTCGCATTACATAACCTCAATCTTCAAACAGCGTCGTTATGAAACTTGTAACTGAAGAAAATCTTGCTTCTGTTAGGGATACGTATTTCAAACTACTCCCCTACAGACATATTCTCCTTCGCCATTGTTTGGGAGGACGAATCTTACAGTATCAACAGTTTTAATGAGCACGTAAGTTAGCCTTTAGGAAGACCGCGCCATGTTGATACACGATTTCTACGATTTCAGAGCCCCCAGCCTTTCGGTAATTGGAAAGGGGTGTTGGACGCTACACGGCCAGCCCCAAAGTGCGTGCAAAGGAATGTGTACCTTGAAGAACAAGAGGTGTCCGGGCAGGAGGACTGCCTATTCATTAATGTCTACACTCCACATGTTAGTATCAAAACAGTTTTCATGTCATAGCATAACATTTGGAAAAGCTGACATCTACTGCTTCGATATATCGAACCATAAAGTACTGGTGTTAATGGTGGCCCACGATTTGAATTTAGCAGAATCTGTGAAAATAAATAAACAAGCGTGTTCGCTTTACTTTTACATTTCTTGTCTTGTGACCTTTGACCTTCGCTGGGTCATAGGGCGGCCAAACACATTACAGGGGTGGAACAATCTTCAGCCGAAGCCATTAGTTGCTGCTTGGCTGTTTGGTGAGGCCGAGATCACGAATAGTCGGACCTACCAACCTTACTACGACGCCAAATAATAAAACAAACACGTGGTAAAACATGGAATTC